CCAGGGCTAAGTTTCTTGTGTAAACGTTTTATTTCAAGCTCTCGGACTTCTCAGTCCTTCAACGGGAATATCACTTTAACAAATTAATAATAAATACTATTACAGTATAATATAATGCGGCTTGTGATTGTAAAACGACATTATATTTTAAATTACTTTATGTATTATTTACGAACGGAAAAATATGTCCAGGGTAGCCTAGTGGACATGGAATCAGCCCGGTAAGCGGAACACTGTGGGTTCGATTTTATCCCTGAACACTTTTATTTTTATTTTTCCGTTTATCATTATTCTTCACAATTCATCCTTTCATACCTCATCCCTAAGGTTAGAAATAATAGTTATTTCTCCTTAGAATAAATTTCGATTTTTCGTTGAAAAGAAACTCATGCGGGATAATTTTCAAATGTCGTTCTACAATAATAATAATTATTTATTATCCTGTTGAAGGATTGACAAGTACGAAGGTTGAATAAAAGAGGTTTTCAAAATAAAATTAGCCCTGGAAGGTTTATTTATTTTATAATATTATAAATCTCTCAAGGAGTCACATTCTTCTAAACATTTAGGAATTTTCTCCCATTGGCTAGATATTAAAATATATTTAATTTTAAGCTTTAACTCGTTCAATTTTGCAAAATACATGTGATGTTTTAAATATTTTATTGAAATTTGAGCACATTAATTCTATTTAAATATATATTTAATCACACAGACCATATTACATTTAAACCTGTCTATAGCGCCCCCTCTAAATAGCGCCTTCCTCTCTATAGCGTCCGATTTTAAATACGTAGTACGATGTGATTTACATTAAAAGTAACCTGTCTATAGCAACCCTTCCGATATGGCACCCTATTTTGATGTGTCCCAAGAAGGGGCGCAATAGACAGGTTTAACTGTAATTAAATTCTAAAATATGATAGAGCTCTTTATTTAGAGATTTTGTAAATTTTTACCGTAAATATTTCTATATTTGGAGAGTAATTATTTACTCTTATCTTATATAATATATAAAACAATTTTGATGTCTATTATTGGGTAGTGTTTAAGTATAATTATAATTGATATATCGATAAAATATTTATGCAAATATTTTTTAATGTATAAATATACAGTAGAACCTCCCTTCAGCGGACACCTCTCTACAAAGGACAGTTTTCATTTGTAAATTTACCATTTTTAATATATAGCAACTCTCCGGTAAGAAGACACCTTTCCCTAAAAGATGCTTAGACTCTGCAATTAGGTGTCCTTTACAGGGAAGTTCTACAGTATATAGAGTTCTGTGTTTTAGTTTACTCATCTTTTATCATTGAGCTAAACATGAAATTGTTTGCTCTTTCATTCGTGTTGAGTATTTTGTGTTGCCGTTTAGGGTGCGTTGTGTGTCTTTTATTGTTTTGACATACCAGAGTTGTTTTTCTAAAAATAATAACCTCTATATACATTTCTTAACTAAATAACAAAATTAATAAAAACATGCCGATCCCAAATGTCTTGAATATTATCAATTTGAATTATAAAATTGAATATTAGTTTTAATATAGGTTGGTCTTTAATTTTACGTGTTTTAATTCCAATAAATTTCACTCCAAATTTGAACTGCAAAAATTCCTCCTCAAACTAAAATGCTTTATGGTCTTATTTCCAGTTACGTAAATCAAAATTCGACAAAATGTATCAAACACAATGATTCAAAAAAATTCAAGTTTCTCTAATTTATGTTTTTAATATTCACAATGTTAGAATGTGTATTCACAATGATATTCTGAGATGTAAAAATAGTTTTTATAGATAAATTATTATTTATATTTGCAGAATTATTTAAAATAAATTCGAAATATTATTTTAAATATTTTGAAAATTAAATATAAATAAATTTTTAATAAAATAAATCTGCTAAATTCATTGATTTATATTTTAAAATTTTCATCTTTACCTCCTTTATGTTCTATATATTTCAAACACAATGTTTGATTATATATTTTTTTAATTCCATCAGTATATATAATACATCTAATTGTTCACTGAATTAATATTCTCCTAATAAATTAAACCATAATAACATATGGAAAATACTATCATGGAATCAACAATTGGTGAAGCTAACAAATTTGAAATAAATTACAACCTAATTAATATACGTAGAAAAATAATTGAAAAAATATTAGAAAAAGAGAAGATGCCTGTACTATGGGAAAACTTTAAAAAAGGATTTGTCGATTATGAAGAGCAATTTGATAAAACAGCCAATAAGAAAATTATAGAAACAATTATCTGCTATGGCCTAGGTTCTCAAACTCCAAGAATGCCATTTTATAAAAATGTCAGAGAACAGTTCTGCTTGCTTCTTTTATTAGTAGACCATCTAAAGCCCAAATATGTTTACCTTTGTGATCCTGAATTTAGAAGCAGAGATTATATGATATTTGAAATATATGGATTTCAACATATCCCTTCAGAAAATAGTGAATATAGATTAATAGAAAGTCCTACGCTAATTTATTTACCATTCGCACCATGCCTTCTTCCTGAAATAATCCTTAAAAATAATTGGAATGCAGATTCCTTGAAAAACATTCTCATTATAAACATAAATTTGGGTAGTTATCGGGTACATAAAGATGTCGTACCTCATTGTAATGAAGTTATGAGTATGGCAAAGGTATATGGAACGAATAAACAAGGCTATGAAGGGGGGGATTTGAGATTATTATGTTTGCATATTTTCCCAAAGAATAATCTTGTGAATATAGAAGAAACAGAAGGATACAAACGACAAATTGAATTTCAAAAAATGAAGAAATTTTTAGAAAGGTTTATGAAAGATGAGGGTCTTGAAATCCCTGTGTCTATAGATTGGTTAACACAGGTAATGATAAATGATAAATATTTCACTATTGGATAATTAAATACAGTAATTTTTATTCTCTTTCGTACATTAGGAAAAAAATAACCAAATAGAATCATCCAATTACCACTGTCAACCAGGGCAAGGTAGACCTTACTGGTCAGCTGAGCTTCTTCTTTTCCTGATTGGGTAGTTCGCCTCCCGGTCTACACAGGTGGTGGTCAAAATTTTCCTTCTTTGGAGTTGTCTTAATAATATTTATCAATTGATCAACAAATTTTTATACTTCACAATATATATACTTTTCAAATAAAATGTTTATTAATCCCTTCGAATTTTTAATTTCAATCATATATAAATCTATAATTAAAAAGGCATATATTGGATCAAAATATTATTTATTTTACCAATATTTCAGTTGGCTGAACGCAAACCTTTATCAAGGTGTTATAACTATTTATTAATATAAATCTATTTGCTCAATGATAGAAACGTAAATATATATTTTCCTCTTTATAATTCATTTTAAATATTTATTTAACTTTCAATATGTCTGTCTGCCCACATATCTTGTAATCGATTTTTATTATACTTCTAGAAATCTGAAATTCTATACACTTGGTAAAAACTGATGACAATGAAAGTTGACGAATTTTCAGATTTCGGGGTTTTCAGGACGGCCAGAAACGGACACAAATTACCTTTCAAATTTTTCAATTTAATTTTAAGATGCTTCCAGATCCATTAGAAGTATGAAACTTTTAACACTCTCTCAGTCCAATGTACAATGTCATTGAACAAATTTTCAGACTTTTGGGTGCTCGGAGTGGCCAGGAATAAACAACTTTCTATATATATTTTAAATCTTATTAACACAAAAGCAATAACGCGCCATCTATACATATAAAATAAAAGGATTTAAAAGCGCGAATGTTTTTTTTTATACATAAAACAAACTTCTACTGTCCTTACTGCGATGAAAAAATATATTGGGAGGGCTTGGCTCATCAGTGGTGAACCCTCCCAGCGGTTTCGCCAATTTAATCCACCAGACCGCTTCTCAGAGCTCTAATATTGTATTGGATCATTCTGCTTTTATATGCTACACTGAAGGATGGAATCTTAGAAATGGTTTTCAAGTAGAAGTTTGTTTTATGTATAAAAAAAACATTCGCGCTTTTAAATCCTTTTATTTTAAATCTTATGTTTGGCACAAAGTGAATTCGAAAACTGTTTGGAGTTGCGAATTGAGCTCTTGATATATACAAATATAATCGAATGCAGTACCAGTATTTATAAGTGCCCTTCTCTTCCTGAATTAAATAATAGAATGATATCTTATTATATTTTGTTAAATTAGTTTTTTTATACTCTATATCATACTTATACAAAGCCTTTTTTAGTGAAATAATGAATTTTGAAGATATTATAAAAAAGCTATATGATATCAATTTGGCTTATAGATTTGATTTCAGCCTATAATGTAAAAACATATACTTATATTATATGTTATATAAAAATTATTTTATTCCAAAATTATAATTTCATAGTTTAAACTATTCTATTAAATCGACCGCCAGAGGTCGCGCTTTTCCTTTATAACCTACTAGCCGAATGACCCGGGCAACGCCCGTGTTTTACCCCGATTGAATGTTTTGATTCAAATACTATTTGTTACAATTATAAATTGGAGCCGTGGATGTCACTCTTGTGAAACGTCCCGCTCCAAACTTTACATGTACATTAGGTCAGCTGGTATTACCCCTCATTTTCACCGCTAGAGGCGCGAGCGAATTGACTTTTTGTAAATATACATAATTATAAAGATAGAAGCTTCTATAGAAGATAATGATCATGATGATGATGCGCGCGCATCCGTGACAGCGGCTGATGAGGAATTGAGGAAAGACGGTCGTGACTATATACATTAATAATAATAATAATAATTATTATTATTATTATCATTAGATAATGATAATGATCATAATGATGATGCGCGCGCATCCGTGACATGAGGAATTGTTGACGGTGGAAAGACGGTCGTGACTATATATGTTGATTGTTGTTTCCCGATGGCCGGCCTTTTGGACTCAAAAATCATTCATTTTGGTTAGCAGCCCCGTAAATAAAGATATTTCCGATGGCCGGCCTGTTCAGGGTAGCCTAGTTAACATGACATCTGCCTGGTAAGCGGTACACTGTGGGTTCGATTCCCATCGGGCCGCCCCCGTGGCAGGCGAGAATTCTACCACTGAACCACCGATGGTTATGAGAAATGGCCTTATTTGGGTATTTATTTCATTCACAAAAGCAAACGGTGACAGAATTGATTATTAAGAATTGTTGCTTGATGACTCTGATAACTGTATATTTTAATATATGGGAAGACGCCTAGTGGCTCACCTGGGGCACGCGATCTGCTGCGTGCTTCACGGCAAAATACCTCGTGAAAGATGGACGATTGGTCCATCGAATTACAATCCAAAATAAGCCTTATTTTTGAAATATATATAAATATTTAAAGACTTTTTTTTTTTCACAGGCAGATTTTTTTCTAACAATATTCAGCTTTACAAAGAAAGTTTATGTAAGACTCATGCACACTACTCATTGAACTTGGTCACTTTTTGAATTGAAAATATCTTAAGTCCTTCTATAGATTCTTATCAACAAAAATACGCATTTTTTTCAAATTTATGATTCAAGACTTGTTCTCCAAGATTATATTTGAAATATTTGATTTTGTTTATTCAATACTTAAAGTTTTTTTTTTTTTTAATATTCGAAACTGCAATGGAAAAATTTATTAATATCCATTGCAGTAAGGGCAGTAGATTTAGTGATTTATTTAATTTATGATTTAAAGCACAATAGTCATGATTCGATTTTTAAGGGGTAAGGTTTTAAGGGTAAGGGCAGTAGAGATTTTTTAATTTTCAAAAGAATCATACGCGTCTATAATAGTTTCGAATTTTAATAATAGATGACGCGCTATGCATCATAATATAAAAGTTTATTTTAAATATATAAATAACATCGGTTATGATTTCTTTCCAACCAGAAGCTAAAATGTAATTGGATACAATTCGAACGTTGTCCGGGCCATTCTTCTAAGTTTTACCTAAATGTAAATTTCTTCCTGTTATGTAAAACCCGTTATGTATAGACGAAATATTATTTTATAATATAAATGTTCTAAATTTTCATATATTTTAAGAGAGCAGAAATAATGCAAGATTTTGATATATATATATTTAATCTACATAGTTAAAAATAAATTTCCAAAATCGGAGATTACCGTCTATCTTCCAAAATATCAATAGTTTTTTTTTTTTTTTGCTTATCCCTAGTACACGTGGTACAGGCCATGATAATCATGGTGGGTAGTTAGCGACTGCTTTTACTGTAAGCGCACCACATGTCTACACATGTGAAAAGCAGTTCGACTTTGCACTTACAAATGCCAGAGCCCCGTTTGGTTACTTGCACTCGCTGGTGGGGTTGGACTTTTGCAAGAATCGGGGGTCATTGGAGCATTTTTCTTTTAAACAGAAAAAAGTGTCCAATGCGGGAATCGAACCCGGGTCCTAGTGGTCGAAAACCAAACGGTTTAACCAGCCTTCCACCGACCCCCCACTATATCAATAGTGACTTTTTAAACCCCATATAAACTATATTAAAGAAAGAAACGTTAAAAATTTACAATTTTTCTCTAAAATTCCAAAGATTTAGAAGGTTATTCCTTGTTTATAAATGAGGTTTGAAGAAAGAAATCTGTGAAAAATGTGGCCTGGGTTATAATGAATTCTCAAGGCGCTGCCTAGAATTTTAAAGTAATGAATAAATCTGATGATATAACAGCTATTTATATCTTTCGACTTATTTACATAGTATAATTGAATCTGTTATATATGTAAATAAAGTTAGAATATATTTGTATATGTGTTCCATATATGAAACAATTTTATATACTTTATATAACAAAATATATTTTCATATTATTATTATGTGAAGAAATGATATAAAAATACATTTTAAAAGGTCAGGTATTGGTATCAAAAACATTTGTCCAGCATTCCTGATACATAGGATGCAAACAGCTATCCTGCTTGAACTGACCCACCTCAATCCTAGATCTATGGCCAGCCTCAACCTCAGAATGGAAATTTGTGGTCAACTGGTTCAACTCAGCAATCAAAACAGGACACGAGTAAAAGCGCTCAACACTAGTTCATACTGGTGAGCTCGACTCCCCGGGTAGTTGGCGTTCTGTGCTCCAGGAACCTGGGTTATAAATCTCTCTCTCTCTCTCTCTCTCTCTATTAAAAACAAAATAGAGATATATCCTGACCTTGCTCACATGTGCCATTTGGCTAGAGATTGTTCTGCCATATAAAAGATCATGTTAGCATGTTCAGGAACTGACGCTTCTCAGTTTGCCAAAGCTATTGTTGTGTCTTTGTCACCGATCCGAGGCCGCTAGTTTACGGCGACGATCAATATATGGTGTCTATCTTTGACGTCTATTTTGACGGGAGAGGCGACCTTCGTATTTTTATATCAATATCATACCGGCAGAATTTCCATCTATATATATATATATATATTTATTTCATTAAAGGATTGCGTTAATAAACTTTATTAAGGCTATAACTTCTTATCTTCCTCTAAAACGAAAACACCTGAATAAAACGAATAACTGCTTATAAATAAAAATAGCGGTTTTCTTTAATAGGTTAGTACAAACTAACTTTGTATGCGCTTTCTATAATTGTTCATATCAAAGTCTAAGATGCTTTTTCAGCCAGTTACAAATCCTTTACGTACGAGAAATAGATCATTACATGTTGCAATACAGGAAAGCACCAACAATTACATCAATGAATAGAAATAAAAAACGTATTATCTATATATGAAGTTTGAAATATTTTTAGAACGAAATCTATTTAAAAGAGAGAGAGAGTTGAATATTCTTTTGTACTTTCTGCGATGGTACCTTCCCAATAAATTTCCATCACAGATTATTCAGTAGGAAATTGTTATATGTTTTGTGCTACAAAATAGTTTTTCAAACTTCAAAATTATCTCAATGATTTGAAAGCCGAGGATTCGAACTAAGACCAGAGACTGTGATTCATCAATGTACATAGAATATATAGTATTTTGTATATTTCTAATGGTTTATTTCAAAACTCAAAGATTTATTCATTCATATATTGATTTAACCTATTTAAGTATTTTTTAAAATAAACACAAAATAGAACTCTAGAAAAAAATGCGATAAAACTAGAATGAAGCCCAATTTTTATCCCCGTACACCGACAAGTCAAACTACAGTGTTGTCGGGGTGATCAACTTGAAACTGTGCTAATTAGGGACGTATAGTGTTTAGTGACCAGTCCTGTTTCTTACTGTGCCTGACGACCGTGCTTGGTTACGTCCAGGGCAGAGTGTGGATCCTGGCCTTACCTCGAACACCACACAGGTCCATAACAAGGCGCTATGGTCTGGGGTGCTATTTCGTTTGATAGCAGGACCCCATTGGTAGTCATTCCTAGCACTCTGACAGCACAACGGTACGTAGATTACATTCTATCTCCTCCGAACGGTGACTGCGGTCTTGTACTAATATTTTATTTATAAAAAAAACGGTGTTTGAATTCAAAATCGATTTTGAAAATGGGTTTAAAACAAAATTTTCTTTGCGTTATCGAGCTAATAAGCGATAACCTTCCTATAAAATCATCTTTTCAAATTAAAAATTGACTTGACCTGTCACATCTAACCTCCGATGAGAGACCATCTTCATGAGAAACCTGTAATTTTCATCATGTTGCCTGTAATATTTTAACGGATTCATTTCTGTTATTTCAAAACATTTTCCTTTCAATATCTATAATATTTCCTTTTTCCACAAATAATTGGGTATTTTTCCAAACAAATAAATAATGGTAAACTAAAACGTTTTTGAAACAATAGTTGGGTATTCTAAATATTAAATTGAATTCATTAGTATATACTTTGTTAATTCTTAAAATTTAAAAAAGGATCACACAATTAAAGGAAGTAAATAAATGCTTATTGCATAATAAGTAGGTTGGGAGGAGTAATTATTCTTTATTTACGTCGCGCTTATTCAATTGTTTGGCAGCCGATTCCTCGGAGATATGCAAATGAAGTAAATTCTCCTGCTTTGAATTTACAAGCAGGAAACGAAGAATACAAATGAGTAGATAAATGAAGTTTTATTCTTTCAGATAACTCAAGTAACAGACTTAATCATCTGGAAAAAATATCATTCATGGATAGATTTCTTGTATAATTATATTGATCCCATTGATAGTCATTCGTGGCATTCTAGCAGCACAACGGTACGTAGATGATATTCCTTCGGCCTGTTTTGCCCTTCAAGAAACAAAGCTAAATAGCTCACCTAAATATTAAAGGGTTCAATATACTAAGAAAGAATAGATCAAGTGGAGAAGGAAAGTGACTTGCATTTTTAATCCAAAATATTTAATACAGTGAAATACATAACCTTCAAGACAATAAAGACAATTTAGAAATGCAGGGAATTACCTGTTACATCAACAATAATACTTCAATAAATATCTATAACCTTTATCATACTCCAAATAATAAGCAACTATATAAAGAACCCTTAGACTTAATCTTCCTACCTAATTCCATTATCTTAGGAGACCTAATTGCACACCACCAACATTGGGGCAGCGACACACATAATTGCAGAGGCATAAAACTATTAGAAATCATGGATGATAATGCCTTTGTTCTACTAAATGATGATACTCATACCTATTATTCACACAGTTACAACAATGTTTTGAATTTAACCATAATCTCTCCTTCACTATACGCCAAATCTAACTGGAAAATTTTAGATACACAACTTTTTAATTGGTAAAATAATTAAAAGATAATAATGAAATAAAAATATTGATATTATAAGGATAAAAATAAGAGAGTATTAAAAATTAATATATATGGAATTTATTGACTTCTTATTTTTTAAAATTGTAAATCATATTTTAGGCTATTTCATATTATTATATGTATATTATATTAATTATTTTTAAAATTTTTTATTTATTTATTTATATATTATATTAATGTTTTAATATATTATATACAGTTAAACCTGTCTATAACGCCCCCCTCTAAATAGCGCGTCCCTCTCTATAGCGCCCGATTTTAAATACGTAG